ACAAGAATCCTTTTTTTATTGAAAATTTTATGAAAGAAAGACAATATACAAGTGGATCTTGACTTGGAGAGGAAGATCTGGCTCTCCCAAATCTCTTGCCTCCATCTAAAGCCCAAACACCCTAAGAACAATAAATATTCAACAAACAACACATACCCCTAATCTTAGGAAAATCACCTATTTAAAGAAAATAATAAACACCAAATACCCAAACAGACCTCCCTCAATTCCCTCCCAAATCTATCATTTTTCCTTAATTATTTCCCATCCCAAATTAGATCTTAAATCAACCCCCAATTCTTCCCTCTTCAATTAAGAAACATTTCTGTGGACTCCGAAAATTCGGCCCCGGCCTACCCCCTGCTTTATTCATGGGAGTTTTAACGAATTAAGTTCCAGGGTAAATTTTGGGAAAGCATATGAGTTTGTAGATAAGACACTACAAAGAGATTTCACCCTCATTTTGCAAGGACTTTATGATCTAAGTTCTGATTTCCTATAGGTGCAAGCCCTAATAGTTAATTACTCTTCCCGATAACTAGAGAGAACTTTCGACTAAGGCTAGTCATCGATGAATACGTCGTACCCATAGATACGCGGTATCCGGCATATAGTAGCAACATGAGCTTGGATATTGGAAGTTGGATATTTAAAATTAGAAAGTTCACCATCTTGGACTTAAAGCGGATGGTGGGGGAATGGATGAAGGACCCGATCAAGATCCCCTGATTCCGTCGTCTCGGGCCATCATGGTCCCTAGTCTACTTAGTCAGACGAGTTAGTCGACCCAACCTGATAGAAGGATCCTTGTCGGCAGCCAAGGGTTGCTTCATCCAAGGGTACCTTGTAAACCTGAGGTGGGTATTTGCCTAAGGGAACAAATTTGAATCCACATTAGCTAACATAGGTCTTTGTGCCCTATCAATTATATCATATTGATTCATCAATAGACAACTTCCAGGTCATGCCATCATTATCATTTTTTGTTGTTGGCTTTAATAAAGAATCAATTATTTCAATTTTGGATAACTGTATCTTTATTAATGCCTTATACTTCGAAGTTAGTGGCCACTTCCTTGAACTAACAAATGCAGCGATTGAAGGTATATCAGACTGTCTAGAAGAGCTATGCGAGACATCCATTCCTCAAATAATTGTTGTAGTTCTTAAGATAGTTGGAATAGTAGGTACACCATTGTATATACAATCATTCTTCTGTTATCATCAGGTATTTGATCTTACTGCAATTCTTCCATATTTTTGCTTGTAGATGCCATCTTTGATATACATTTGTATTCACAAGGCCCATCACCTCTATAGTGTATTTACCATTGTTGTCTACGGATCATATGTTGTATGCATATATATGTTCACAAATACCACAAGTCTTCCATAATCACTTGTGGATAGATTATTGTTTGTGTTTGCAAGCTATGTATTCACTCGTATGCATTTCATTGTCATTCATGGACACTCACAAGTCTCCCACATTCACTTTTAAGCATTCATCATGAATCTTTTAGTACTGTAAACATCTATGTTCACTACAATTGTCCTGATGTCACTTATGGAATAACATCTAGTGACAGTGTTGGTACCTTTCATCAAAGCCTGCTGCATATCTTTCGCATTCTACTTGTGACAAAATCACTGCATGGCCTTCTACTATTATCCATATATAGCTTGTTATATAATGGATATTTCATCCTTTAAGGTGGCCCCATAATACTCTTAATGATCATTATCCCTATTATATCTACATCCCATTTGGTACGGAGGTTTTGAGTATCTGTAGGAAACTTCACTTTGTTGATCATAGGCATGTTGTCATACTCTCCATTCGATCGTTGCATGCATACCAATTTGATTCAAGAGTTTAAGTCATTTTGTTGGTTTTGACTGAAGAATTATTGCATCCACTTGTATATAATCTTCAATGTTCATGAGAGATCCAACATCCATGGAATATCTCTATTATAGTTATTCGTAAATAGATTTAGCGTATTCGCCTGTATGTTAACACTGAATATTGGATGGATTGTGTTCATTAATAATCTCCATTCCAATTGAAATGGTCATCACAAGTTGAATGTTACTATCCAAGAAGTACCATGTAAAAGTTTGTAATTACAGGAATCCATATTTGTTTGCATGAGGTTCATTTTCATGCACTTGAATGTTCAAAAGTTATTATTTGATTTTGATGTCTTCATTTTGATCATGACTTTATCAATTTAAAGTCCAATGCTATGTTATTTGTTCTAATTCAAGTTCAATTCATCGTCGTATTCAAGCTTGCAAGTTTTCTATTTAAGTTAATCAAGTTCAAGTTCATGCTCTTTTGTAGTTCATGTCACATTCGAGTCCAAGTCTTTGCTGTCCAAATCAAATTTGAATCAAATCTTTTATTTAATCATTCAAGTTTGCATTTAGTCCATTTAATTGTTCAAATCAAATATAAACAAAATCCCCTGTTGTCTAAAATTGTTTCAAGTCCTTGTCTTTTTAGACAAAATTTCGGCAGCCTCTTGGCGTCTCTCCCATTTAGGAGAAATTTCGGAAGTCTGGACCTCCCACCACGCTAGAGAAAAGCATGCACGGACAGTGTCGGATGACATCGAGGCCAAAAGTCTTCAAATCCACCACGCCAGAGAAAGGCGTGCATGGGTCTTCGAGCAGCAGTTTAGAAATGCACAGTTTTATATTCATCCCCGCCTCGCTATAGGCATCGCACCGGGTTTCCTTCTCGCCACGCTAGAGAAAAACATGCATGGGTTGCTTTTTTGGTGCACTACTAACGCTGAAAGTGAGATTTTATTGGCCTCGCCATAGGCATCGCACCGAATTCCCTTCCCACCACGCAAGAGAAAAGCGTGCATGAGTTGGTTTTCTGGTGTGCTGCTAACGTCGAAAATGGGGTTACGAGTTTAGAAATTATACCAATGCAAAACGACGGCGATAACGAAATGCATAAAATACAAAAAAAATATTTTTTTGTATTCTTTTTTTTTTCATTTCCCCCTTTTTTGAAATCTTTCTTTCTTTTTTTTCTCTATTCTTTATTTCTCTTTTTTTTTTTTACTTTCTCTTTTTTCACTTTTTTTTTCTCCTTTTTTTACATGAATCTTCTCCTTTCTTTTTTTTTTAAACCTCTTCTCCTCTTTATATGAGAGAGAGTTAATAATACTAATAACATTATTATTTATTTATATAATAACATAAACACTAATGCTATTAATCAACATTAATAAAAGTATTAAGATCATTAAGAGGGAGAGATAACCTGTTGAGAGAGATTTCTTTCTATTTGAGTGGTCGATTGTTTGTGGCTAAGTGAAGGGGGAGGAATTTAGATAGGTCGATTAAAGGCTTGAAGAGGTTAGGGAGATCGGCTGTAGTAGAGGTTTTGGCTACAGGTAAGAGTCGACTAGAACAGAGGGAGATTTGGTGTCGGCTTGGAGCTGTGGTCGGAAAAGTGTGAGCATTCAGCAGCTTTTAAGGCGGAAGGGGTTCTGCGGCTTCGGTTGGCACAGGTAGGGGTGTCAATTTCAGGTCATGTGTCGGGTTCGTACCCAAACCCGACACATGACCCGACACTAATCGGGTCAACCCGAACCCGACCAGTTTTTGAAAACAGGTCAGTTTTCCTGACCCGAACCCGACCCGCTTCAGGTTAAATGACCAGTTTCCAACAAGAAAATGCTAGTTTCCGGGTCAAAATGGGTCTACCTCCTCTTTTTCGGGTCAAAAATGGGTCTATTTCCTCTTTTTCGGGTAAAAAATGGGTCAATCTCTGGTTGTCGGGTCAAAATCGGGTTTACGGGACAATTTCGGGTCAAAGGGTTAACCCGAACCCGACCCGATTTTTGAAACGGGTCAAAATGTTGAACCCAAACCCGACCCGTTTCGGGTTCGGGTTGACCCTAACCCGAAGTTTTCGAGTACGGTTCGAGTCGGGTTTTCGGCTCGTGTCAAATATTGACACCCTAGGCACAGGTAGGTCGAAGCTTGGACGTTGGGTAGTAGAGATGTCACATAGGAGCTCGACAGTGGAAGAGATGGGTACAGGTGCTGGGTTCGGCGGGTTGAAGGGCTTTTGTGAGTGGGATGGGGTTCGGCTAAATGGATCGGAAGTAATGACTGCTTCGGCCAGGTAAGGCTTTACTTGAGCCTTGATCAGAGATGGGAAAGGAAGGCTGTCGGATTGCTGGGGTCGGGCGTAGGTTGAATGTGGCTTCGGCTTCGATCGTAGCAAGCAAGATCGGGAGGAGTGGAGGAAATCGGAACTAGCCTTAGAGTTTGAGGTGGTCGGAAGTCGGGATGGAGTTCGGCTTTTGCGAACTGGACAGGGTCGTATGAGGTGGAAGGTGTGGACTTCGGTTTGCAATGGATAGGAAGAGGATCTTGAAGCAGCAGCCTTCAGCTTCTTTCCGCTTCATTTTAATGACAAGGGGCATGATTGACTAGCCACGGTGCAGAAAATTTGGGAAATGATCGCGGAGCAGAGCAGGTATGCGGGATTTCGGGCGGGATTCATGGTTTCAATGTGTACAAGGTATGATTTTATTTTGATTTTTATTTTTGTTTCTTCTCTGTGTGGGTAAATAATTTCCTAATTAATACCGTACAAATCAACCCCCAAATATGCCCACCTCAATTAATAAAAATATTTCCTAATTAATCCTCCCAAATCAGCTTCCCTCTCCTACTGCTCCTGCTCCCATTGTACCACAAGCTTACAACTAAAATGAATGTAGATGATGAAAAGAAATAACATTTGACTCGGACTGACAATCACATACTATCACAATTTTTGCAGAATGTGCAACGGTGATGGTCAGTGCATAATAACAAACTAATATAGAGGCATGAATCCTCATTCAGAGCAGCTGAAATCCATAGAGTTGAAAGTCCCAAAGAGTAAAAATTGTAGACATATAGATGTGGTTTTAACTTATTATTGAGAACAGAAAATTAAAAACTATATCGAATAGGCAAACCTCCAGTGGAAAGCTGAAGCACCAAATCCATGGATAAGAACAATAGGAAGCCCTCGTCCTTGCTCTACGTAGTGTATCTTCCGACCTCTCCATGTCCAAAAGTTATAACCCTCTGGTCTGAACGGCAGCTTCTCCATCCCTAGGAATGCTTCAAGTTAACTACCACTACATGATTCAATAGTCGCGTAACAGAATATGGTAGCCACATCCAGCTTTAATGCCTTCTTAATTAAATTAAACAATGAAAATCTAACTATATACCATTTCTTTATAGATAAAAATAAGAATAGAAAAAAATAAACATTATGATTTACAATTGTCATTCTACTCCGTGCATTCAGCCAAAGATAATTCTATTATGCATAGTCATGCTTTATTCTTCATAGAATTTTATTGCAGAATATTAAGCATGATGAGTGCATTAAGCATCAAATAAACACTTCCAGTGGAGCAATTATTATGAAAGATTAACATGAAAAAAACCAAACTCTCAGCAGGTGGATTCAAAAAACCTTAGTTAAAGAAATTTAAAAGAAAAAGATTAAAATAAAAAGAAGAAGAATAACAGGCATTGAGAAAATATAAAACCTGAGGGACTATTTGGCTCAGTTAATATATTTGTAATTGCCATAGATGAAAATTAGGAGTTTAAGCAGAGAATGATGGGATAAATACTTCAAAAAGAGCAGATTTGGAGGGGACAGCAATGGTTGGAAGACTTGTGGCCTCATAAAGTACTTATTCATCTAACAAAGAGCAGTAGCTTTTCATTGGGATTTATAGGATACTTGGTCAAACAAAGAGTGCAGAGCGCTAGCTTCTCACTAGGATTTTTGAGAAGCCAAAAAAAAAAATTTCTTTTTACAGAAAATAATGTATTTATAGACTACGTTATGCACATCTATCCAGAAGACATAACTGCCTAGATTTATGAAGAATGACCTGCATGGTTAGTCGGTAAGATCTCCATGTAGAAAAGCATTGGAGATGTCGAATTGTAAGGTAGGCCATTTTCTCTGATGAGCAATGAGTAGTAGAATGAAAATCATTAGCATTTTGGCTACGGGGCTGAAGGTCTCATTTTAGTTAATGCCAAATTCATGTGTGAAGCCTTTGGCTACTAATCGAGCTTTGTACCGATCCACTTAGACATCATGTCGGAGTTTAGTTTTAAATGTCTATTTGCATCCCAATATGTTTATGTGTGGGGATGGTGTAACAAGTGACCATGTTCCTTGCTTCTGAAGAGTTGGAAATTCCTCGGACATGGCGTCCCGCCAATGTTTGGATTTGATTGCTTGAGTGTATGTGGATGGTGTGGGATTGGGTTTGGATATAGTAAGCAGGTCAAATATTTGTTTGGGACGCTAAATGCAAGCTTTGAGCCTTGTTTGCATGGGATGAATAGAGGGGATAGGTGGTGGCGTTTGCTGGGAAGATGAGGAGGATTGATGGAAATGACTAGGTGTATCGGAATGGGAGTTAGAAGTCTGAGAGGTGGTTGGGAAGTCAATGATTTGGTGTTCCTGGGTAGGTAAGACAGTGGTATCTGATGAGGGGTTGGATAGAGTGAAGGTTGGAATGAGCAAGTAAGGCGAGTGTGATGTCTCAGTTGTGGAGTGCAAAGGATCAGGGGAGGAGGGAATCAAGAGAGATTTGAATGGAAAGACAGGTTCGTGGAAGACTACGTGGCGTAATACATGAAGTTTGTTGGTTGTGAGGTTTAAGCATCTGTATCCTTTGTGTGATGTTGAGTAGCCGAGAAAGAGACACTCTTGAGAGCGTGGAGAGAGCTTGCTTGGTGCTAGAGGTGGAAGCCAAGGGAAATAGAGATAGCCAAAAGTTTCAGATGTGAGTAAGAGGGAGGTTGGTTGTATAGAAGTTGTAAGGTATTTGAAGGGCGCAGGCTTTGGTAGGTAGTTGGTTAACGAGATAATTGGATGTTAGCAGAGCTTCAGCCCAGAAGTGGTGTGCGAGATTGGTTGCATTAAAAATGGTCCAGGTGGTGTCCAAAAGGTGACGATGCTTGCGTTCGGCAAGTTCGTTCTGTTCTAGTGTAGCCGCTAAGTTGGTGTGTTATTATATTGTGGAGGAGGTAGTTTCTAAAGGCATTGCTTATGACTTCGTCGCCTCCATCAGAGTGAAGCGTTTGTATTGGAGAGTTGAATTTTGTTTTTGTTAGATTGTGAATTTGTTGAAATTTGAATAGGGTATCTGCTTTAGTGTGCATTAAGAACAGACAAGTAAAGCGTGTGCAGTCATCTACGAATATAACATAGTAGCAAATGCCGTTTAGTGAAGAAACCGGCGCCAGACCCCAAACATCAGAATGTATTAACATAAAAGGTTTAGTTACATGATTGATAATAGAAGGAAAGGGTAACTTCTGGTTTTTTTCCAAATTACATGAGGTGTAAACAAAAGAAGGGGAAGGGATACATATAGAAGAAACTACTTTGGCTAACTGATGTTGAGTCCATAGGTTGGGATGGCCGAGCCGTGCGTGCCAATGATTGGAGTTGGTGGAGATGGAGTGAAGTGCAGTCGGTGAGGAGGCAGGTGCAATGGTGACTGAGTAGAAACCATCATGGCTGCGTCCACGGATGAGGATAAGATTGTCCAAGAGGTCAAAAGAGATAGAGCAGTTGTTATCAGAGGTTAATTTGTGTATTGAGAGAAGATTATGGGAAAGTGGCGGAACATGAAGTAGATTGTGTTGGCGAAGCTTACAAGTGGAATTCGGGAGAGGAAGAAGCCCTTTCCCTATGTGTTGGATCAGAAGCGAGCTGCCATTAGCGATGCAGATTGTTTCCAAATTGGTGTATGGTACTGGGTACTGGAGATTTGAGGCATCTGGGGTGAGATGGGATGAGGCGCTTGAATCAAAAACCCATTCGTTGATTGTAGTGGATTGCGGATTGGTGAGTAGCGCTTGGGGGTTGGAGACGGATGCAAAACTATAGTTGAGATTGCAGCGATGCCGAAAATTAAATCCTAGCTGTCTCTTGGCCCTTGATCCCGTGGCCAGCATGGCGATCCATGGGAGGCTCACTAGAATTACGCTGTTAAATCTCAATCGTCCCTTTCGCCCTTGATCCCATGGCTAGCATGAGGATCCATGTGAGGCTCACCAAGATAACGACGATTTCCTTCTATATTTAGGTGGCTGAATTAGGAAGGATTATATTAAGGCAATTATGCATGATTTTATAGTTCTTGTTTCTTTATTAAGACATCTTGTATAGATATATAAATGGGCATAGTTTTGTATAATAAAATTAAGCCATTTTTCTCTCCAATTCTCTGAATTTAACAGGTATTCTATGCAGCTTATACTTTTTTACTTTTTCTCTCTATAGCCTTTCCTATAGCCCTTAAAGCCCTATATATAAGGAGTGATGAGGAACAATCGGAGGACCTTGGATTTTCTCTAACAGTGAACACCCAGCCAATTTGAGAACTATAGTTCTTTTTCTCTGCTATCTTTAGCATTTTTGCACTCTCCATTCTTACCTACATGCTCTAGTTGACCTACTTAACCAACTGGTAAAGTCAAATATCATCCATGGACAAATTTGAATTCAACAGTTGATAACTTCATTAAGGATGTATGTAAACTTCACGGCCACCTCTTGCCACAACCATTGATTGGGACCTAATATTTTCTGCCTCCTTCTGGTAGGAAATCATTAAGGTAATGGGGACCAAATTACACTACAGCACCACTCATCACTGGAGACCAACTGTAGGCTCCGAAAAATTGGCTCTGGCCTCCCCCATTGTTTTTTGGGGGAGTTTTAATGGATTAAGTTCCGAGGTAAATTTTGGGAAGGCAGATTGGGATTGTAGATAAGACACTACCCAGAGATTTCGCCCTCATTTTGCGAGGACTTTATGATCTGAGTTCTAGTTTCCTTTAGACCCAAGCCCCTATAGTTAATGAGAGAGAACTTTCGATTAAGGCTAGTCGTCAATCAAATACGTAGAGATCAATACATATATATGGCATATAGTAGCAATATAAGCATTTGGAATTTGAAGGGTTGATATTTAAAATTAAAAAGTTCACCATCTTTCACTTAAAGCGGATGGTGGGGGAATGGATGATGGAGCCGATCAAGATCATATGGTTTCGTCATTCCGAGCTATTATGGTCCCTGGTCTACTTAGTCAGAGGAGGTAGTCGACCCAACCTATCAGAAGGATCCTTGTCAGCAGCCATGGGTTGCTTCGTCCAAGGGGACCTTGTAGACCTAGAGGGAGTGTTTGTTTAAGGGGATAAATTTAAATCCACCTTAGCTAACAAATGGCTTTGTGCTCTATCGATTATATCTTATTGATTCATATCTCAAGGATTTGATGTCATTTGGGAAGCATATGGGCTCTAGCCATAACCGTAATTTAGTTGTGCCATTTGGCGACAAACCACCCAGTTCAGTGGGCCCCGATAATAACAGTTTATCGTGCAGTGTCATTTGGCGACAAAACTACCGGTTATAGGACACGTGCCACGTCTCTTACTGGCATGCAACTGTTTGAGAAATGAATCCTAGTGATATTCTCGACCTAACATTAGCTCTTGATGAGCTGAAGTGGTTTTTCATTTTGTCCACCTCGACAAACTGTTGTGGATGGTGGATGAGTTTTGCTTTTAAGTATTTGATAGTTGAATTTCAGTTTTAAATTTTTTTTTTATTTTGGAATACTTTAAACTTTAAAGTTTTGGAATCTTTTGAATTTTGAATTTTGTGGGCATTTGGGAGGTATTTGAAATTGTTGGAATTAACACCTCCAATTTAGATTTAGATTCAACACGGCCATAATTGGGATGATTATGGGGTCAATTAGAAATGTTTCTATTTCGTGGAAATTTGAGAGCATTTTGAAATATTTGAAATTAACACCTCCGGTTGAGATCTACGTTCAACACTGCCATCATCGGGTGTATGGGGTCATTTGAGAATTTCATTGATAGGACCTTGTCAACTATGTCTACTAGTAGACAGAAGATTGGGTCCCTAGGCCTTATATTTTTGTTGATGAATTTCTTCTGTCATAGACCTTGAAGGCCTTATATAAACATATAAAACATATATTCCAGTCAACATATTGACAATTTGATCTGGCATTCCCTTCCCA